TTGCGTGAGCCCGGGCGCGGCCGCGGGGGCCGGCGACTCGCCCGCGCCCGCCGGCCCGGGCGCGTCGCCCGGCGGCGGGGGGGCGCCAACCTGCGATGCCGGCACCTGCTGGTGGCGCACGTCGGCGACGGCAGGGGCCTCGAGTGCGCGGTGCTCGTCGAAGTCCACCGGCTTGCCGTCGAGCACGTCCTTCAAGCCCTGGCAGATCGCGTCGGCGACGTCCTGGTTTCCCTCCTCGCGCGCGCCCGAAGCGTCCTCGGGCACCAGCTTGCGCAATTCCGGGAGAGCGACCTCGGGGTCCCACTTCATCATGCGGTTGGCGGCCCTCACGAAGTTCTCGCTATTGGCTGCGCACGTGGCCACGCTCGCACGACCGTCTGCGACCAGTAGGAAGCCCATGTGTGTCAGGATGATGTAATCGAGCTGCAAGGCCTTTATGTCGGCGTCCGTGGTAAATTGGTTCTGCGCGAAGGCCTTGACGTTCCAGTGGTTCGCGATGCGCCGCAACGTCTCCATGGGGTTCACCTTGGACGCGACATCGTGCCCCACGAGCAGCTCCGCGGACGCGAGCGTCGGGGGCGGCATGGCAGCGAAACGCGCGCGGGCCTGCATGAACTCCCTGGCCACGTCCTTGGCGCGCACCGTCATCTGGAAGTTCTTCGCGAACCACTCGCCCAATGCCACGGCGGCGTCCACTGATGGGCGCGCCACCTCGGGCGGTATCTGGCGCGGATCGAGGCCGTCCAGAAGAGCATCGATATGTTTGTCGGTGTACTCCCCCAGACATTCCACAATCCCTTCGCCGGTCATCTCCTGCACCTGCTCATCAGTCTTGCCCGCCTTCTTGAGTAGGAATGCGACCACCTTCTCCCCGACGTCGACGGGCGGGATGAAGTGGAAAGTCCGTGTCATGTCCTTCCGGACGGCGGGGCACTCGCTGACCTCGCCCTCGCCCCTGGACGCCCTGGCCTCGACGCGGACGTAGTCGGCGGACTTATTAAATTGGGTGCGAAAGTGCTCCCGGACATCGGTGGCCCAGGGGAGGAAGTGCGTCCCGCGCACTTTGGAGAAGGGGTCACGATTGTGCTTCCCGTCGACCTTCTCGCCCTGGCGCTCCCGCCCCGCCGGGAAGAGGAACGAGGAGAAGAGCATGACGCCGCCCAGCGCTTGCACGACGTCGTCGTAGCCCAAATTGTTGAAGTAGTCGGGGTCGTCAGCGACGATCCGGGCAATCTGCGGCGACGGCAGATCGGGCATGATCTCATTGACCACCGCGGAGAAGTGCCCCACGAGAAAGCGCACCATCCCCGCCGTGGTGTCTGGCTTCTTCGACTGGTCGTAGACCTCTTCGACGTGCATCAGGACTGCCCCGCATAAGTGCGGATTCCACACGCGGAACTTGTTCTGGTTGTTGCCGGGGTGGTTCTTGTAGAGGTCGTGGTCGTGGATCTGATTAAGGTCGTCGATCCCGCCGCCTGGCCCGCTGTCGAACGTCTGGGGGGGCCAAGTCTTCCCCTCGTGGAGGGCCAGAAAGGCGGTGTCCTCCTGGGCTTGCATGAATCCCCCCAGACCAACGAAAGTGCCCTTGTTGAAGATAAAATCCTTGGCGGGCTCCTTCTCGGGCTTGGGGTGGTTCTCCGGGTCGAGCTCGTGCCTCGCGGCCGCGGCCTCGTACCTTCTCTTGGCCCGGGCCTCGCGCGCCTGGTCGTAGAAGGACAGGATTTGCACGTCGAGCCACAACGCGACGGACTTCCCGTCACCGGGCTCGCCATGCTGCAACATCAGCAGGTTGCAGTGGCGCCCGAGGATCCCGCCGTACTTTATGTGCACGGCGCCGAGAGTCGTGGCAATGAGGAGAAGCATGTGGACGTACACGCAGGACGGGTGCAGCGACGTCGCCCGCCCCAGCGCCGCCGCGATGGCCCGCGTCAGCGGCGACGCGCGCCGCGCGATCTCCTCTGGAAACGGGTTCTGGGTCTCCATGATGCGGTGGGCTGCCCGGATCTCTCCTTTGGTGAGCGCGGGGGGCAGCGCGCCCTCGGCCGGGCGGGCCAAGCGACGGGCGCCATTGACCGCCTCGGCGACGCCCGCCATGTGGAAGCACATCAGGAACATCAGCGCGCTGGCAGGCGGCATGGCGGCGAGCAGCGCGGGCTCAAGGAGGGCTGGCGGGCGGCGCGGCAGCCGGGCGGCGCAGCTCGCAGACTCGATCGAGACGGTCTGCGGCGGGCTTCGAGGGGTGCCTGCGACTCCGCCGACGCCGGAAGGAGCCTACTCGTCAAACGGATCGCGTGCATCACGTCACTGACACAGCTGTGCAATGCGCCCCCTACGTGCGTGACGCAGACTAAGCGCGGGGGAATGCGCGGTGCACGCTGCGCGGCAATGACAATGCGCCCGGTGCGACGCATGCGCGCGCAGCCAATGTCGTGCAAAATGTGCAATGCAATGGATGTCGTGCAACGTGCTGCGCGGCGCCCCTGGAATGGCGCGCGGCCGCCCCGTGGCCCAGGCTCCATGAGCGGGACCCAGCGGGACTTCTCGCACGGGGCCGCACGGGCAGCAGAACGAGGGGGGGGCCTTGAAGTTCCCCAAACAGAACTTGCGAAGAGGGGTTCTACTTGGCTTAACTATCTCGGAATGGCTGCCGGCTTTTGCGCGCGGTGCCGCCCGCGCCCGCCCTGTTGCCGCCCGTCGCCTGGGGTCGGTTTCCAGCTTTTGCGCGGGGTGCCGCCCGTTGCCGCCCCATGGTGCATTGCGCCGCGCAGATAGCACTGCATAGATTGCACTGCAGAAGTTGCATCGCATACATTGCGCTGCATAGGTTACACCGCATGGATTGCATTACGTGGGTTGCATTGTATACATTGCACCATATGGGTTGCACCGCATAGAATGCATCACATAGGTTGCACCGAAAACATTGCACAACATAGATGGGACCGCGTAGACGGCAAGAGCCTACTGTTCGGGGCCCACGCTGGCCAAGGTGAAACACTGTTTGAAGACGTCGTATGGGGGGCCCTCGAAAAACCACCGCGCCCGTGCCGAACGGCAACGGGCGAGCCGAAGCGGCTCCTTTCGCACCAGGGACAGCCCCGACCCCCCTGATCGCATGTTTCCGCCAAGCGCCCCCTAGCGCGCCCTGGAGTCGCCCCCGCTCATGACCCCCTGGATCGCTGCCGACTTCGCCGCCGCGCGGCCGAGAGCATTGCCCGGTCGGCGCGATGCCGCGCGCACGGCCGACGGGGGCGCGCAAGGTGGATTGGGCTCCGGGGGGAGGGCGGGGGAAGGGGGGGGTAAACGACCTGGGATCGGCGATGCATCGCCGATTGATCGGCCATGGCCCCAGAGGGGCGACGCGCAGGCGACCGAGGTCGACGCGCCTCCCCCCCTGAACCGACCCCCCCATCCGCGCCCCCTGTGCGACGCGCGAACCGCCGCCGCTTCCCGGGCGGGCGAGGCCGAAGCCAAACTGCCAGCGAGGTCGCCCTCGCGACCTCGGCTGCCCCGACCCCCAATCACTCCGCTCGCGCCAGCCGCCGCGGGCGCCGGTCTGGTAGGTCAGGGTCGCGTTTGAGGGCCCCGGCGGCGAATCGCCGGCGCTTGCCTGCCGCCTGGCGCTGCAGCCATTCATTATGGACATCGAACAAGATCCGCGACCCCCTTTGGGGGCTCCCGTCGCAGCAGCAGGGCGCAGCGCACGGGCGCGCTGCGAGCTGCTGGGCCCCCCGTGCGCCTCATCGCCCCCAGTCCGCCAAGCCCAGTAGGCGACCGCCTATGACCCCCCCCCCCACGATTTCTACGGGGGGGGGTCACTTCGTTTGGGAGCTCCCGGACGAAGAACCCCACCACCCCCCTGAGAAATCGTGTGTGTGTGTGTGCGTGTGTGTGTGTGTGCGTGTGCGTGTGCGTGTGCGTGTGCGTGTGCGTGTGCGTGTGCGTGTGCGTGTGCGTGTGCGTGTGCGTGTGCGTGTGCGTGTGCGTGTGCGTGTGCGTGTGCGGTGTGCGTGTGCGTGTGCGTGTGCGTGTGCGTGTGCGTGTGCGTGTGCGTGTGCGTGTGCGTGTGCGTGTGCGTGTGCGTGTGCGTGTGCGTGTGCTGTGCGCGTGTGCGTGTGCGTGTGCGTGTGCGTGTGCGTGTGCGTGTGCGTGTGCGTGTGCGTGTGCCGTGTGCGTGTGCGTGTCGTGTGCGTGTGCGTGTGCGTGTGCGTGTGCGTGTGCGTGTGCGTGTGCGTGTTGCGTGTGCGTGTGCGTGTGCGTGTGCGTGTGCGTGCGTGCGTGTGCGTGTGCGTGTGCGTGTGTGCGTGTGTGCGTGTGTGCTGTGTGCGTGTGTGCGTGCGTGTGTGTTGTGTGTGTGCGTGTGTGCGTGGTATGTGTATGTGTGTGTGTGCGGTGCGTGCGTGCGTGTGTGTGGTGTGTCCTGTGTCCTGTGTGTGTTGTGTGTGGTGTGTCTGTGCGTGGTGTGTATGTGTGTGCGCGCGTGCGCGTGCGGGTGGGTGGGTGGTGGGTGGGCGGTGGTGTGTGATGTGTGTGTGGTGTGACTGCGTGTGGTGTGCGTGTGCTGTGCGTGTGCGTGTTCGTGTGCGTTTGCGTGCGTGCGTGCGCGTGTGCGTGTGCGCGTGTGCGTGTGTGCGTGTGTGCGTGTGTGCGTGTGTGCGTGTGTGCGTGTGTGCGTGTGTGCGTGTGTGCGTGTGTGCGTGGGTGTGCGTGTGTGCGTGTGTGCGTGTGTGCGTGTGTGCGTGTGTTCGTTGTGTGTGTGTGCGTGTGTGCGTGTGTGCGTGTGTTTCGTGTGTGCGTGGGTGCCGGTGTGCGTGGTGTGCGTGTTGTGCGGTGTGCGTGTGTGCGCGTGTGGCGTGTTGTGTGTGTGCGTGTGTGCGTGTGTGCGTGTGTGCGTGTGGTGTGTGTGCGTGTGTGGCGCGTGTGCGTGTTTGGCGTCGTGCGTGTGCGCGTGTGTGCGTGTGTGTGTGCGTGTGGGTGGGGGGGGGTGGGGGGGGTAAGGTTCACAGGCGGTCGCCTAGCGAGAGCCATGGGTCCCGTCGGAATCGGCGAATCAGCCATGATATCCACCAGTGGAGCTGGAAATGCGCCCTCGCCATCTCGAGGCACACTCGCGTCCTGGGGCTGATCCACGCGTTGAGCTGCTCGCAAGCCTGGGCAACGCCAAGATCGGAGGTCACCTCCATCGAGGGATGTTGACCCACGATTCCGGTGTTGGTGGTAATATGTAGGCTTAAAGTTGCCTAAATATTACCACCAACACCGAAAGCGTGGGTCAACATCCCTCGATGGAGGTGAACCCCGATCTTGGTGGTGGTGTCAATCTGTAGGCCCCCGGAAGCCTCCGTGTTCTTGGACTCCAGGAACTTTGCGTTCACCGGCTGCAGCGGGTCCACTTCCGGGAGCGCATTGAGGCACCACGTGTGGTTGTCCCGGTGGAAGCCGTCCAGGACAATGCGCACTTCCTCGGCCAGCGATTTGGTCCACGGCAGGCAGTCATCCTTCTTGACGCGCGCCATGGAAAGCAACTTGCAGGCGTTGTCATAGCCGAGCCACCCAATGACGCAGCCGAGGTCCTGGGCGTCCTCGCGCGCGATCGAGCGGCCCGCGAAAACGAGCGCGAGCTCCGCGGAGGGATAAGGGCAACCTTGGATAGTAAAGCGCAACTGAACTCGCGCACCGTGCGACGTCCCGGGGGTCGCCCAGAGCCCTCTGGAGCCGCGCTGCCCCGGTGCCAGCCTTTTCCCCCCCGGGAGATCACCCCGTCTTCGCGGGGCGCCAAATCGAGCGAATTCCCCCGCGGCGACCAATGGGGGGGTCCTTGTGGAGCCGCAAAGCGAAAGCGTACACCGCCTCGATGGACTCGCCGCGGGTCAGCTCCATCCAATCCATGAGCCAGCCGCAAGACGCGACGGCTGTCACAATGCCGCCAGTGCATCTCCTGATCTTGTCAGAATCCTGGAGCTTATCGACGCCGCATGCCAAGATGGACTGCTCCTGTTGCGCGTTCAGCGCAAGCCAGCCGCGGCACTGCTTGCGCTCCGTACCTGCAGCATCGCCGCCGCCGCCCGCGGAGCTGCTCGCCGTCTGCGCCGCGGTGGGGCGGGCGGCCGCGGGGCCGACGCGGCCGGCTCGCTTCGGCGCGGGCGCCGCCCGCTTCCCGGGCAGCCCCGCGGCTCCCGGTCGGCGGGGGCGGGCCGTCGCCGCGGAGGCGCCTGCAGCATTGTCGCCGCCGCCCGCGGAGCTGCTCGCCGTTTGCGCCGCGGTGGAGCGGGCGGCCGCGGGGCCGACGCGGCCGGCTCGCCTCGGCGCGGTCGCCGCCCTTTTCCCGGGTCGCCCTGCGGCTCCTGGTCGGCGGGAGCGGGCCGGCGTCGCGGAGGCGCGACCGCGGCCGCGGCGCCCCCCGGCGCCGCCCCGGCCCCTTCCGGCCGCGCCGGCGCCGGCGCCCCTGGCGCGAGGGGCGGCACTGGCGTCAGAGCGCGCGCCCCCCTGGCACGCCTGCATCTGCCCCTTCAGCCACCGCGTGACCTGCCGATGGCCTTTGAGCCACGCAGGCCGCGCCTTCTGGTTCCCGTGGCCCCCAAGTGCTGGAAGCAAGGACTTCTCGTAGGCCGCCAGCAGCTCGGGGGGTACCTCCGCCCACGGCAAAAAGGCATCGAAAGACTCGCTCGGGCTGCCCGGGTCCGAACAGCGCACCAAGTACTTGAGCGAAGACCCTTCGCAGGCGTGGGCTTCCGCGGGCGCGACGCCCAGAATCTGCGTCTGCGGGGCGAGATTGTTCTGCCCAGCGCGCCGCGTCTGGCACTGAGCGCAGAAGAACCGCCCCGCGGGGGCATTTTGCAAACACCCTGTGTAGAGATCCATCTGCAGCGTGCCCATGCTTTCGTAACCGTCTAACCCGCCGCAGATGAAACGACGCGCCCCGCACTTCCCGCCAAGTAGGACAAGGAGCTCACCCGCGCACTTCGGGCATCCACGGGCGCGGTCAACAGCGCGCTGAAGGTGGGCGCGGCGCACGGCGGGCGCGAGGGCGAGCAACGTCGACTCCAAGCCGCACCGGGTGAAAGACCACTTGACATCGGACGCGGCGCAGTTGGCAAGGCGGACAGCGTGGTGCCCGCACCACGCGTCCTCCAAGCGAACGCCATTGGCGCGTAGCAGCGTCAAGTCTTCGCCGGGAATCAACCCCCGCTGTGCAATCTCAGTGTGTTGCTCGCTCCATACCAAAACTGCAGAATTGAAAGTCCCCCCGCTGTGGTGCAGTTCGTCCGTGAGGAATTGCAGGAGCTTCGCGTCCACGGCGTACCAAGCTCTGTCCCGTGGGACGACGACATACTTGAGGGGGCTGATCCCCGCGACGAGCTTGATGTTTGTCATCCTCCCATAAGTCCCTCGCCCAGAACTTCGGTCGTGCTTCTCGTGTTGCCATTGCCCGAGAAAGTACAAGGAGCACTTGGGACAGTACTCCTCCGAGAACGAGGCATTCTGGATCCCAACGCCCATGGTGTAGACGCGGTGCCGGGTTTCCAGAATCATCCCAACGCCGTTGCGCCGTTTGATGTTGAACGGCACGCGGCTGCTTGTCTTCGGGCTGCAGCGCTGGAGCTCCGCATGGCGGCAGTGGGGGCAAACCCCGTGATTGGAATGCACCTGAATGGTGGGGGCCGACGGCGCAAGCTTCTGCAGGTCCTTGAGGCGCGGGTTGTTGAAGTCAGAGTCAACGTCCCGACCGATGCCAACGTAGTGGCCGAGTTTCCACAACACATTCGTCACGGTGTTGTCGGCCAACTCGACCCCGTGGTTCCGCTCCGCGAGCGTCTTCACGAAGGGCACTGCCAGGGCCGAGGGGGCAGCGGAAAGTACCCGCGCCACATCCCCAAAGGCCGTCGCTGGGAGGGGGGCGAGCAATGTAGCGAGGGAGAACTCGGCCCCCAACAGGGAGCCTCCCGCCATTTAGCCCAACGGAGCCAGGGCGCTCGAGCCGGCGGCGGCGACGACAGAGGTGACGAAGGCGAGGGCGATGACAGTCGGCCCTCATGGGCGGGCTTTGAATATATAATTGCGGGGCATGGGCACGCGAGAAGACACCTGCCTTGTGCGACAGGCAATGGAAATGCTGAGTATATCGATGGTGATGGCGCCGTGCCACGGGCAGTGCTGTCTTGGCAGGCTCGCGGGCCGGCAGCAGGACGGGGGAGGAAGAAGGGGGAGGAGGAGGGCCGTGAAGAGAAAAAAGGACAGGCGACGAACAAAAGTGGTAACCAGATTTTCCGGTTACCAGTTTTATCATCATCGCCATCGTCATCGTCATCGGCATTATCATCATCATCATCATCATCATCATCATCATCATCATCATCATCATCATCATCATCATCATCATCATCATCACCGTCACCATCATCACCATCAATAATCGACATCGTCGTCGTCATCATCACCATCATCGTCATCATCATCAACATGACAATCACCATCACCACCACCAACATCAACATCACCACCACCAAGCCCTACGACGACGACGACAACGATGACATAGTCATCGTTATCGCCATCATCATCATCACCATCACCCTCATCATCATCATCATGATCATGACGATCATCATCATCATCATCATAATCATCATCATCATCATCATCATCAACACCATCAACATCATCACCACCATCATCACCACCACCATCATCATCAACCTTATTCACATCATCATCAACATCATCATCATCACCATCATTCGCATCATCATTCGCATCATCATCACCATCATCATCATCAGCATCATCATCATTATTATTATTATTATTATTATTATTATTATTAATATTATTATTATTAATATTATTATAATTATTACTATTATTATTATTATTATTATTATTATTATTAATATTATTATTATTATTATTATTATAACCCGGCCGGGGCCAGGCCGGGGCCGGGCCGGGGCCAGAAACCGGGGCGCGGCCGGGCCAGGGCTGGGGCCGGGGCCGGGCCGGGGCCGGGGCCGGGGCCGGGGCCAGGGCCGGGTCCCGAGGGGGACACGAGCAGGGGACACGAGGAGGGCACGAGGGGGACAGCAGGGGACACGAGGGGGACGCGAAGGGGACATCAGGGGACACGAGGGGGACACGAGGAGCCCATGGGGGGGGGGGGGGGACAAGGGGGTTGCGACGGGGACAGCAGGGGACGCGGGGGGACGCGAAGGGGACAGCGGGGGGACACGGGGGGACGCGAAGGGGACATCAGGGGACACAAGGGGGGGCAACGGGGGAGAGGGGGGGGGGACACGAGGGGACGAGGGGTACAGCAGGGACACGAGGGGGACACGAGGGGGACAGCAGGGGACACGAGGGGACACGAGGGGGACACGAGGGACAGCAGGGACACGAGGGGAAGCGAAGGGACATCAGGGGACACGAGGGGACAGAGGGGACACGAGGACACGGGACGACCGAGCAGCAGGGGCAGAGAGGACGCGAAGGGGACAGCAGGGGACACGAGGGGGACGCGAAGGGGACAGCAGGGGGGCACGAGGGGACAGGGGGGGACACGAGGGACAGCAGGGGACAGCAAGGGACACGAGGGGGACACGAGGGGGACAGCGGGGGACACCAGGGGGACACGAGGGGGACACGAGGGGACAGCATGGGACACGAGGGGGGCAGCAGGGGACAGCAGGGGACGCGAGGGGGGCGCGAGGGGACAGCAGGGGACGCGAGGGGGGACACGAGGGGGACAGCAGGGGACACGAGGGACGCGAAGGGGACGCAGGGGAAACGAGGGGACGCGAAGGGACAGCAGGGGCACGAGGGGGACACGAGGGGACAGGGTAAACGAGGGGGGCCAGCAGGGGACAAAAGGGAACAGGGGGGGGGGCGGGGGGAGGGGACAGCAGGGGGCACGATGGGGACACGAGGGGGACAGCGGGGGACACGAGGGGGACGCGAAGGGGACAGCAGGGGACAGCAGGGGACGCGAGGGGGGCGCGAGGGGACAGCAGGGGACACGAGGGGGACACGAGGGGGACAGCAGGGGACACGAGGGGGACGCGAATGGGACATCAGGGAGCACCAGGGGGACAGCAGGGGACAGGGGGGGGACACGAGGGGGACGCGAGGGGGACAGCAGGGGACACGAGGGGGACGCGAAGGGGACAGCAGGGGACACGAGGAGGACACGAGGGGACAAGGGGGGGGGCACGAGGGGGACAGCAGGGGACACGAGGGGGACGTCCCGCAGAAAATCGGAGCACCTCAAGGGGTCGGCGGTGTGGCGTAAACCCGAGAATCATCAGCATCATCATCACCATCACCACATGCATCCTCACCATCATCCCCATCTTCGTCCTCCTCATCATCCTCATCCGAATCCTCCTCATCCTCCTCATCATCATCGTTATCGCCATCATCATCATCATCACCCTCATTTTCATCACCACCATCAACATCAACCTCATCATCATCATCATCATCATCATCATCATCATCATCATCATCATCATCATCATCTTCATCATCATCATCATCATCATCATCATCATCATCATCATCATCATCATCATCATCATCATCATCACCATCATCATCATCATCATCATCATCATCATCATCATCATCATCATCATCATCATCATCATCATCATCATCATCATCATCATCATTCATCATCATCCTCCTCCTCCTCCTCATCATCATCATCAACAACATTATTATTGTGATTATTGTTGTTATTGTTATTGTTGTTGTTGTTATTATTCTTATTATGGAGCCAGGCCGGGGCGGGGCCGGGCCGGGGCCAGAAACCGGGGCGCGGCCGGGCCGGGGCCGGGCCGGGGCCGGGCCGGGGCCGGGGCCGGGGCCGGGGCCGGGGCCGGGGCCGGGGCCGGGGCCGGGGCGGGGCCGGGGCCGGGTCGCCGGGGGCACGCCGGGTTGAGAAGGCCTTGTCAACACCTTTCTGAAAGTGCCCCATGGGGGCGTGGCCACATGCGCCCCCGCGACCCAATGGCGGCACATCCTTCGCGAGGTTTTTGGCCATATGGGGAGCTCCACCGAAGGCCGCAGGGGGTGCGTCCACGTGCGTCCCAGGCACTCACTGCGGCCCACCCCTCACGGTTCGTCTCATCGCCCTCGCGGTACTCGCAGCCGCATGTGGTCGGGCCCTTCGTCAAGCTAATGTTGTTTTGGTGCCCGCAACTCGATTTTGCAAAGATAATGATCACCGCACCGAGCCTCGAAATTTCGAAGAACCCCCTGGCGTCGTCGAATGCCGGCTGCGCTGGCGTGCCCCTCTGCGAGCCCAACGAATGTGCGAACGCCAACCATTCGACCCAAATGAGTCGACGAGAGATCTCGACAACAGACTCTGAGGCCGTCGATGAAAACCAGGCGCGGTACGGTGCAAAATTTTCGCACTGCAGAAGACACCAAAAAGTATGCACCGTACCAAGCGGGGCGCCATGTGCGGCGGGGGCTCTCAGGAAAATCCACCTGAAATCTCCGCCGCAAAACCGACAGGGGCCGCGAGGATTCCCAATGATGCGAATTGAGGCGCATGTCTTCTTCCAAATCCTCCTCAATGCTCTTGCGCACATCGGCATCTACGAAAAATGCCCCCGGGGGTTCTGCCATGGTACGGTGCATACATGTCGTCTGCGGAATAATGGAGAAAAGCGCCTCCGAAAATCAGGGTTCCAAACCAAGGCAGGATGCTTGCTTGCCCCTCGACCCCCGACGCGCATGGCTCTTGCCCGTGGCAAGCCACCTCCTTCTCAGCGGCATCAGCCCACAGCTTATAAGCTTTGTCCAACAAAACCTGCCATCGCAAAAATCACCCCTCCTGAGTGCCCCCCCGCAGCTGTCAAGAACGCCGGGAAGGGCACGGGCGCGGGGGACAGGGTCCGCGCATAGAACAAACGGGAGAGGCGCCGAGGGCAACGGCGGAGGCTGCCGAAAGGCCATGGATTACAACCTGCCGAGCTGGGGGCGCACCGTGACTTGGACAGGACTGCGCGGCGAGAGGCGCGACTCCCTCTTGGGCGCAACAGAAGCCACGCCCTCGGCCACGCCGGCGCGACCAAGAAGTCAGCCTGGCGAAAGACCCAACCATATGCAGCTGCGACTGCCGCGAGGGCGATGAGACGAACCGCGAGAAAAGTGTGCCGAAACGGGTGCCTGGGACGCATGTGGACGCACCCCGTGGGGCCTTCGGTGGAGCTCCCTATGGGGCAACGAACCGTGTGAGGGGTGCGCCGATACAAATTTCTGGGACGCGTGTGGACGCGCCCCCTGCGGCCTTCGGCGGAGCTCCGCGTGGGGCCACGAACCGCGCGGGGGGCGTGCCGCCATTGGGTCGCGGGGGCGCGTGTGACCACGCCCCCTGGGGCCTTCGGTGGAGCTCCCTATAGGGCCACGAACCGTGTGAGGGGCGTGCCGGACTGGTGGCGGGGGCGCATGTAAACTGTGTCACTGGGGCCTTCCGTGGCCGCGAAACGCGTGAGGGGTGCACCGAAATGTGTGGCGGGGGCGCATGCGAACTGTGCCAGTGCGACCTTCGGCGGAGCTCGCACGGGGCCGCAAAACGCGGGAGGGGCGTGCCGAAACTTGCAACGGGGACGCATGCGAACTGCGCCGCCGGGGCCTCCGGCGGACCTCCCACGGGGCCATGGAATGCGTGAGGGGCGCCGAACTTGGTGGCGGGGGCGCGTGCAAGATGCGCCGCTGGAACCTTCGGCGGAGCTCCTATGGGGCCACAAACGCGTGAGGGGTGTGCCAAAGAGAATGGCGGGGGCGCGTGCAAACTGCGCCACTGGCGCCTTCGGCGGATCCCCAATGGGGTCATGAAACGCGCGAGGGGCGCGCCGACATAAATGGCGGGGGCGCATGC